CGGCCCCTCTCACCTGGCGTCGCCGGCGGCCGCCCCCCCTGGGCCCAACCGGCCGATTTAAAGGGCGCCTGTGGGGCGGGGTCGCTCCCCCCACTGCCTTATCTGGCCAGTCCCGGGCTCCGCGAGCTAAATCGGGCCTCAGCTGTCAGCACCCGGGGGGCGCAGGACAGCTGTCACCTCCGCGGGCACCTGCCTCGTGACCGCGGCCCCCTCCTCCCTGCCTGCCACGGGGTGGGCACTGAGAGGCCCCTGCGGCTCTGCATGGGGCGCCCTCAATGGGCAACTGGGGACCCCCAGGAGCCCCTCATCCCCCAAAGCTCTCAGACCAGCCTGGCTCAGGTGTTGTGAGAAGTGGGGGCCCCAGCAGGTGGGGGCCAGTGAGGCTGCACGGGGTGGTCTGCACCCACCATTAGGGGCAAACAATAAGCGCTCAATCCGTGTACAGGTTTGGCCTGCTGGTGCTCCAGACTGTGCCAAGCGGGAGGGGTTAGCACAGGAGCGGGGCTGGGAGCAGGAGGGAGGCTGCTGGGACCCCCACACCAACCTCCCCCCCACCCCCGCCCCTGTGGGCTCCACTCAGACCATATTAGGTCACAGCTGAGGCGGCACCTGGAGAGGTCACTCAGGCCCAGGAATAGAAACACTCAGGGAGCCCCGTCAGGCTGTCTGGGACAGGATGGGGCAGGCGACGGGCACAGGACGGGGCCCCAGAGGGCCCAGGGAGACAGACTCAGAGACAGAAACTGAGAGAGACACGGACAGAGAGAAATACCCAGAAAGAGAGACCAAGAGGGGGACACAAAGGGAGAGACAGAGGGGGTCAGAGACTAGGGGAGGGGGCCGCCCCCAGAGGTGGGGTGTCCTGGGACCCTGACAATTCCCCCTCGTGTGCTGTTTGACTTCTCACCTTACAAGCTGCCCTTTGACCTCAGGAAGTCTTGGGAACCAGAACCCTCCAAGCCCAAGTACTCCCATCGCCACAGGCCACCGGGTCCTGCTGGTGTCCGCTCCCTGGCTGCCTCTGGAGGCCCCGTGGGCTGTGGGGCCAGGATCCATCCTTGTCTCTTATCACCTCCTCAGACAGCTACCGGGAGGAATTGCTCCCTCAGCATTCCAGGGCTAATTCCCGGTTGTTTCCAATTCTGGAATGCCCAGTCTCCCCTACCACTGGCTTCCTGGAGAGCCCCCCTCAGCCTTCTAGAGCCAGCCCAGCCCCATCACGTCCCCCCACCTTTGTATGGTCTCCACATTGTCTCATGAGACCCCTGTGAAAGCCCCCACCACTGGGACCAGGGGTCTTCACATCCCCTGTGTTTTCCTCCCAGCCCGGAAGGGTGAGCACCCAGCTGCACAGGCCAGACCCAGAGCTGCGGCTCAGGGAGCTGGGTGTGAATGGCTGCCAGGACAAGGAAGCTGCAGGGAGGGACACTGGGCCCTGGGGAGGGCACAGAACAGGAGAGGGGCTGCTCAGGTGAGAATGTGGAGAGAGGACATCCAATGGGAGCCTGTCCTTCCTCTGCTTCAGTCCCACCGGGCACCATCATCCCCCTCCATCACCTCTCTGCTCTGTCTCCCTAGCTCCCTCTGCTCCAGCCATGCCGGCCTGCCTCAGGACCTTTGCACTGCCTGTTCTCTGCCTGGAATGCTCCCGCAGACCTCCCTGTGGCTCCCTCCCTCCCCTCTTTCCAGTCTTTGCTCACACCCCTTCTCAGTGACACCTTCCTCTGCCCTAAAGAATTCTAATGTTATATTAGTTTCCTCTGGCTACTCTAACAAACTTAGTGGCTTAAACACACACTGATTCTCTTATACTTCTGGAGAGGGGAGGTCCAAAATGAGTCTCACTGGGTTAGAGTCAGGATGTGGGCAAGGTTGGTTCCTTCTTGGAACCTGGGGAATAATCTGTTTCCTTGCCTGGTCCAGCTCCCTGAGGCCACCTGCATTTCCTGGCTTCTGACCACCTCTTGTCTTCCAACCACCCTTCTGCCCCCTGCCCCATGTAGCATCTCTCTGACCTGGCTTCCTTCCACATGTCTCTTTCTCCAACCCTCCTTCCCTGTTTCCTTCTCCACTTTTAAGGACCTCGGGATTACACTGGGCTGACCTGGACCAGGACAGTTTCCCGATTTTAAGGGCAGCGCATTAGCAACCTTCGTTCCCCTCTGTCTGGTATTCAAACATATTCGCAGGTTCCAGGGAACCTCATGAAGGCAAGGATTTGTGTTTTCCCTTGGGGCCTCCACCCCCTCCTCGTGAGGAAACTGAGGCCCTAAGAAGTGAGTGACTCCTGTGAGGTGGCCAGGCTGGGAGGTGGCAGAGGGCCCAGCTGCTGGCAAGGCCTGCCTGGGCCTCTGATAAACTAGAGTAACTGAAGGCAAGGGGCCCCACCCCGGTGCAAGGCGGGCCAGGCCAGGGGCAAATCATCAGGTTTATTGAGGCAGCCGTGGCACTGAGGAGCAGGGAATTCGGGGAAGGGCCTGGGGCCTCCACTAGGTCCGTGAGCTGTGAGGCCTGGCCCCTTTCCTGAAGCTTGGGAGCCAGACGTGGACGTGCAGGGTCCATGCCAGGCCGGCAGCCGTGGTCCCCTCCTCCTCGGGGTCAGTCTGTCCGCAGCCAGGAGCCCTTCTCCTCCACCTCCTTGGTCACCACGAGCAGCACCTCGCACAGGCCCTGAGCCATCTCGGCCGCCAGGAAGGCCCTGGGAGGAGAGATGGGGAGACTGAGGCCCGGGGGAACTGGGGGTTGCCTCCCAGGGAGGGGGTTCTGGCGCCTGGCCCCGCCCCAGAGTCGCTCCCCCTCACCTGACGCCATCCTCGTCCCCCAGGATCTCGGGCGCCCGCAGCTTGGAGTCCAGATTGTAGTAGATGCCGTCCACCTGGCGCAGGGCCACCCAGTGCCGCCGGCGCAGCGGCAGGGACAGCAGCCCAAGCGACACGGGCGAGGGGAGGTTCAGGATCAGCCCCAGCACCTGGGGCAGGGCCAGCTGGGACAGGGGCCTGAGTGGCGGGGCAGAGACACCATGGTCAGGGCCCAGCCCTCAGTGTGTGCCTGCTGGCCTGACGTTACAGGGTGTGTGGAGCCCAGGGACTCTCTTCCATCTGCCCACCCTTTGCTTCCTTCCACTCACCTGCCCCCCACCTCCCGAAGCCTTCCAGGCAGCCATCTACCTGACAGCTTACCCACTGTCCACCGCTGATTCTCCCATTAGCCATCCATTATACACCGCCCACCCATCAAACCCCTCAGCTGTCTAACAACCACTCACCATCCAACTACCCATCTATTATTCACCCAAACATCAGCCCCCTCGCTGATGCAATCAACCATCAGCCAGCCAGCCATCAACCCAACTTCTCCACCAGCCACCCAACTCCTCAGCCACCCTTTACTCATCCACCCATCCATCTGTCCGTCTGTCCATCCATCCATCTACCCAACCACCTACTGGCTATCCACTGCCTATCAACTATCCATCCTTTATTCACTCAACCACTCATCCATTCATATATCCCATCACCCAATCACCACCTACCCAACACATCCAACCATCCATCCACCATCCACTTGGTCACCCAGTTCCCATCAATCTACCCATCATCCATCCATCAATTCATCCCGTTGACCATTTAATCATCCTTCTGCCATCTCCCATCCATCCATCATCCACCCTTGCAAATCTTCCACTCATCTCCCCCTTCCTTCCTCCCTCTATCCACCCAGCCCCTCCTCTTGCTCTATCCCACCCTGACTGCCATCACACTGCACCCCCTGTGCCAAGCTCAGCACACATGATGCAGCACTTTGGGTCACACCTCCTTCTGTCCCACCACACGGCAGCTAGGCCCTGTCCCTGCAGGGCGGCCATGATCACGTTGACGTCATAGTTGCCAGTGCCCAGGAGGCTGCGATGGGGGTTCAGCCGGGAGTCTGGAGCCAACCTGGTTGGGAGGTGGTCAGGGCCTGAGTTGGTGGGTCCTTGGAAAGGCCTCACCCTCCCCACAAAGCCCCAGGGTCCATAAGTCACCCACCCTTTGGACTCTTCACCTTCTCTTCTGCCTCCATGACTCATCAGCCCCAAGCCCTGTTTCTCCCATCCCCAGACTCTCTGTCCTGTCCTCCAGGATTGGTACCCTGTCCTCCAGCCACATCTCTCTGCTCAGGCCTTGCCCTCCTCTACCTGGACCCTCACCTGGCTTCCAATCTCCCCCCCCAGTCCTTCTCCAACAGAGGCTGGGGGCTCTTGCTACACTCAGCGCTGATGCTGCCCCACCGCTGCTCCCAGCCCTCCCTGGCACCCCCATCACCCCAGAATAGAGTCCCAGCCTCTTGGCCTGGCCTTTGAGGCCTTGCATGGTCTGGTCCCTGCTGGCCTTCTAGCTTCAGTCCCGTCACACTCCTCTGTAGTCACCTTGTCCCCAACCACATCTCCTGTGCTCCTGTCTCCCTGCCAGACTTTCCTCCAGCCCAGAAGTCCCACCCTGCCACCACTCTGGGCCCCGCCTTGTCTGGACAAGGGCACCTTTGTTCTGTCTTTGGGCCCTTGGTGGGCAGGGCAGGGGGAGGGGTGGGCGAGGGGAAAGTTGTGTATTCTTTTTCTGTGGGTCTGTTTCCCTGGCTTCCCCTGGGACAGGGCTCATAGCAGACTCATCTCTGGGTCTCCAGCCTGGCCTTACCATGAAAGAGTTGGTTGATCCCTGTTTTGAATGATAGGAGAGGAATAGATTCAAAAATAGTCAGAGGGGCTGGGGCTCTGCCTGAGGATGCTGGGGTGGGGGGCACGGGAGGGCTGTGAGTAAGAGATAGGGAGACAGGGTCATCTCTGGGTGTAGGATCAGCAAGGGACTGACTGCAGGGGAGGAACTGAAGGCTGAGGGGAGGGTCCAGGAGACGACGGGGCCAGAGCTGTGGAGACGGAGAGGAGGGGATCGGGCAGAGAGATACTAAAGATGTAATGTTTGAAATCTTGAATAGTGAGGAGCAGCATTCCAGGCTGCCAAGAGCAGGAAGCTGTGCCAGGCAGAGAGAACAGCCCGTGCAAACACCCAGAGGCACCATGAGGGGGTGCTCATTGAGGGACTGGAGAGGAATTAGTTTGAGGGGAGCAGTGAGATATGAAGCTGCAGGGGCAGGTGGGGATCAGAGCACATAGGGTTTTGGTATCAGAGTGAGGAGATTGGGGCTTCTCCCAGGGGTGCTGGGGAGCCACAGGAGAGCTGGGAGCAGGGGAGGAGCAGGGTCAGTGCTGGAGCTCTGTGTAGCATGGACTGAATGAGATAAACCAGAAGCTGAGAGGCCAGAGGAGAGTGGGGAGTAGGGCCCAGAAAACAGGATGAGGCCTGATCTAGGGGCCAGATCAGGGGGACGAACATGTGCAGGAGGCAACATCTCCGTCTCTGAGTCCCAGAGTCCAGCCCAGGCAGATGGGGCAGCAGAAAGGCCCGGGGCTCTGCCCCTGCCTTGCTGTGCAGCCCAGGTGGATTGCTCCGCCTCTGTGAGCCCTGCTTCTCCAGGGGTTAGGGTGGGTGATGGTCACCTCTTGCAGATTTCATCGGCAGCCTCCTGACTGAAGAGCCGCTGCTGCAGGACGTTGTTGAGGGCGTGGACGGCACAGAGCTCCAGGCGCTGCCGTTCGTGGTACACGGAAGGTTGGCTTGGCTGAGCTCCTGGGGCCTGGGACATGCCGTCCTCGGCTCCTGCTTTGGGGGTGGGGGAGAAGGTACTCAAGGGCCTGGGATCTGGAAGCCCAACCTACCAGCAGGCCCTGGGGGCACCGTCATTGACTAGGGGCTCGGGCAGCCTGAGGCGACCGTGGGCCCCTGACTCTGCTCTCCTGGTAACAAAGTACCTCCATCGCCTGTTTCTAGAAAACTAGCTCTCTCTTCTGCTCACTTAACAACAGAGGATCACTCCCGCCACATCTCTAAGTCAAAGGGTCCTTATGGTGGTCACCTAGCAACAGAACCCCCCCTCCCCTGTCCCTAGGTAACAGGCTTCCTTTCTGGTTACCTAGCAACAGAGGGCCATCTCACCCCCACCACACTAGGTAACCAGTTTCTCCTCTGGTTACTTAGCAATAAAGGAATCCTCCTCTCCTGTTTCTAGGTAACAGGGTCTCTTCTGGTCGCCTAGCAACAGGAGACTCCCCTCCCTTGTCGCTAAACAACAAGAGTTCTCTCCTCCTGTCACCTGACAACAGGGCCCCCTCCCCAGACACCAAGTAACAGAGACGTTTCCCCGACCCGTACCCCAACCGCGGCGCTCGCCCGTTGCCTGGCAACGCCCCTCACCCCGCCTGACTCTCTGTTCTCCCGAACTGGGGGCTCCCGCATTCCCCTGGGCGGCGGCTCTGGGCTCCGAGAGCTAGGCGGGCGGCACCGCGCTGACTGGGCAGAGAGACGGACTACGGCTCCCGGCGCCGCCTGCGAGCCGGACTACGACTCCCGATGACCCTCGCGAGAGCGTTTGCTCCTCGCGGAACGCAGGGCAGCGTGGCCCGGAAGTCAGCTGTCGCCCTGAGAACGCGACTACAATTCCCGTCGGTCCCTGCGTTGAGTCCCGGCAATGTGCACTACAGAGGCCTCTCCTTCGCACGCTACCACGCCCCCTGCTGCTCGGAGGATTCTGGGAAACCGAGTGAGTAGGCTCTCGCGATAGTTTCAGGCATGCTGCTCCCCATATGCCCGCTCCCATATATACCCCCACCCGGTGGTGCTGTTATGCCTAGGGTGAAGACACAGCGTGACGTCACAGAGGCAAAGACGTGATCAGACACCAAACCACTCGGGGAGAAGAGCCTCCAATATTTACTAGGACAGGAGGGAGGTCTGGGGACACTGAGGTCAGGGCAGCAGCCTGGTGGTGGGGAGGGAAATGAGTTGAGGATGTCCTCTTGGGAATGAGGAAGCTTCTCAGCAGAGATGGATCCCCGGCTTGGAGGGGAGCTGGCAGCAGCCTGTTGGGGAGATATAGGGAATGAAAAAACTGAGACAGAGAGATGAGGAGTGACAGATACCTGGAGGAAGGGACAGACCAAAGTGGAAATGGAGGAAGTCCTGGCCATGGGGGACAAAGACCCAGAGAGAGGAACCAAATCCCAGAGAGAGGGGGACAGAGCCACACATGGTAGGGTCCCAGAGACAGGGGAAACAGAGGCTCAGAAAGAGGAGACTTGGACAATGATAGAGATCTATAAAGATTCAACGTCGTGGAGTAGGTGGTTAAGGAGACAGAAATAAAGATCAATCAATCAGTAGAGGCAGAATCAACCGCAGACCCCGACAGACCCTGAGACACAAGCTCTGCAGAGCACAAGAGCCCAGGGCTTGGGAAGAGAGGTCACTAGTACTGGGGAGGGGCCTGGCCGCACCCAGGAGGCTGCGCCAGAAGGTGGTGACAGTGGCAGAGCCAGTGACAGCGCCTGGCTCGGCAGGGTTCTCTCTGTGGGTGTGCACAGCAAAGCTTCGGCCTGTGGGGCCCGGGGTTCCGCTCAGCTCCACATCCACCACGTGCATGTCCTTGAGGCTGGGGCAAGCAGAGTGGTCAGTCCTACTGGCCTGGCCCCGGCTGGGAACCCCTCCCAGCTTAGCTCACCTGAAATCAGCCACAAGCACCCCAATCACACGGTCGAAGCCCAGGCTGGGGGCGGCCAGGGCAGCAGCCGCCATGGTGTTGGAGTTTCGGGGGGCAAAAGGGCAGAGCCCACGGACAGGGCCTTCATAGAGCACAGTGCGAGGCCTGGTGCTGTGCTCTGTAGCCAGGGGTCCCTCGAGCCGGAAGCCATCAGGGTGTGTAGCCATGGTGACACGCAGGCTCTGAAAGTGAGAGCCTGAGTCAGGGAGACTGGGGGCTCTCTGTTGGCCCCCTCCCATTCCTGGGGAGCCCAGCAGGCCCTCACCTGGAGGCCCCCGGCTTCATCCAATCTGGTGATGTCCTCAGTGCCCCACAGGGCTCCCCGGGCCACAAACACAGCATGGCTCCAGCGATGCGAGGCCTCCAGGAGCTGCTGCTCTGTGGTCTGGTCAGCCAGGGCTGAGGGGGACCCCACCTGGGGCAGACGAAGTTGGAGAGGGGCTGAGGTCAGGGGACGAATCCCATTTTAGGGTGGGGTGGTGGTGCCAAAGCGGAAGAGGCAGGGCTTACCAGGAGATCGGCATAGCGCAGGATTTCTGCCCCAGATTCCTGGATTATTTTGGGATGGGCCACTTCCACCACAAGGTCAGGGTGCCTGGGAGAGGGGAGAGATGGGCGAGGGCCTTGGAGAGGTATTAGGCCTCCCCTCCTCAGATTCCCTGAGTCTCTGGAGGCCTGTCACTCTTCACCCTGGCCTGGGAGGGGAAAGGGGATGGAGGCTGGTCCTGTTTTATATTGGGGTGAACCCAGGCCCAGAGAAGGTACGGGACTCGCCTGAGAGCACACAGCACCTAAGGGAAACCAGAACAGGAGCTTCAGAAAGTCCTGCTCTCTCATGGCGAGGTCACTGACCTCTCCCCGAGGGCAGCAAGGCTCTGGAGCTGGAGGGAAGGGGGCACGCTCCCCGCCATTCGTCCTGGGTCACGATTCCAGACAAAAACAAGTTCTAGGCCCAGTTCTGGTCCTTGAGTCAGCAAGTGGGAGACAAGGGACTGTCCTGGGGAGAGGGAAAGAGATTCAGAGAGGGGGGGACGGAGAGAGACCCAGAGGAGGCCGGAGCCCTGCGGTGCGGAGTGGAAGATGCTTAGGCAGAGACAGTCAGCCAGGCCACAGATAAAGATGTAGATGAAAAGTGTGTGGAGGACCCCGGGGCTCTGGAGGTTTCAGAAAGGGGCCTGCGGAAGAGGCCTCAGGGACTCACCGAGGCGGCCATAGCCCACTATCCCCACCTTCCTCGGGACCGTGCTGAGAGCCATGTCCTTCCGTTTGCTGGTCTGTGGTCTAACCTCCACTGGCTGCTCGCTGCCGCCCCCAACCCCATACACAAGGTTTGGGCAGTGGCTGATCTTTGGACATTTGACCCTTGAGCCTCTCCTGAACCTTCCTCCTTTCCTGCAATGGCCCAGAGAGGCGGGTGTGGGTATGCTGCTTGGGGGCAGGATGAGAATCCTGGGGGCTGTGGGCAAGACGGTTTTGGATCCTGGTGCCCTGTGTGGCCCCCTTATACCCAGCCCATTCCTTCTCTGCATCACAGCGTCCTCCCTTCCTGCTGATGTGGAAAATTTCCTCTGCAGTCCCCTGCCCCCCTTTTCTGGCTGGCCAGGTTGTCATGGAAACTTCATCCTGCTTGGGGTGGGGATAGAGAGGGTTGGGAGCAAGGGAGAAGAGATGGTGGCAGGGGATTCTGGGCTCTGTCTGTCCCCTTGCTCCTGTGTTTCCAATCGCCACCCTTGTGGCCACCCTCTCTGTGACTTGGCACATGTGTTTCTTGTCAACATTCATCCTCTGTGTTTTTCTCCCTTGGTTCTCTGCCTCTGATCTCTTGTTCTCATCACGGTCTCTCCATCTCTCCTGGAGCTCCATCCCTCCAGCCCCCACCCTCACCTCCTCTGGGCTGGTTGCCATTCTGTCCCCAGCCAGGCCAGGCCCTCATCTCCTCCCTACCCCAGGGTTTGAGGCAAGCCTGGTCTGGCAATGCCTGTCTTCCCACAATATAGCAGGAGCTGGAGTTCAGCTCACTAAGCCTCAGTGGCCCTTGTCTCCCCTGGCTTCCCCAAATCCAGTGGAAGGATCCCTTCCCCCAGCCCCTCTGGGTAACCTCCCTCCCTCCAGTCTGATCATCCCTCAGTTCACCTTGACTTCTCACCTTTTATCCTCCCCTCCCCCAGCCATGATGCTACCAGCCTCCGCGCCCTCTCCCCAACTTTGTATTCTCACTCCCATGCCTATCCCTCCTCTCCTCCCATGGCCAAAGAGAAGCCTGTGAGGCCCCGAGTATCCCCCCAAATGAGTCCCCATTCACTGTGCCTCGCGGGTGCCTGGCATCGGAAATGGCGGAGGCTGCGGCAGTGTCGGCTCCCTGCCCCAGCCACCACCTGGTACCCGCTGCAGTGTTGCCATGGCAACCAGGATCAGGGAAGGGGGGGGCCCTGAAAGAGGACGAGAGAGAAAGAGAGCATGAAAGAGGGAGAGAGGGGGAGCCAAGCATCGCTCGAGAGGAGAGTCCAGAGTCGACAAGCCTCCAGAGCAGACAGGCCGGATAGATAGAGCCAGGGACCCCAGACATGTCCCAGAGGCCGCTGCCACGGCCGATAAAGGAACAATTTGCTTTAAGAGCCCTAAGTTGGGGAGAGATAAGATGCGTGGTGCAGAAACAGCCTGGGAAGAGGCACAGGGCCAGGCACAGGGACTTGGTCCAAGCCCTCTCAGAGCACCCAGAGCCTGAGTGGGGTCGTAGGGGCTTCCTGCCTGCCCCGCCTTCGAGGCGGGGACTCCACTGGACCTTGCTGTCCTGCACATGTGTCAGACCTGCTGTGTCTGCGGACCGGGCTGTGCCAGGAGAGGAAAGGAGGCTGGGACCTGCGCTGCTCTGCGGCTCTGTTTATCCAGAGCAGGGCCTCATCCTGAGTGAGGAAGGAGCTGTAAGGTCACTCCTGCTTCCACGGGTCTCTGCCTGTCTAGACAGCTCTGGCGGGCCCCAGCCCTCTGGAGCCTGAAACGCCCGGCCCCTTGGCCTTTCCCAGGCCCCCCAGCGGCTGCCCACTGTCCTGGCCGACCCCTGGCATTTGCTCCCACTCGCTAGCTCTGTCCCTCCGAGGGCTCTGCGTGCGGCCCCTGCCCTTCTGAGCTACAGTGTAGCCCCCTCCCCCTCTGCAGGCCTGGACTCTGCCTCCTGCGCCTGAGTTAACAAGACCGAAGTGCAGATCCTTGGTGCCCCGCCATCCCGGCTGCAGCTAGAGCATCCTTCACAACCCTTGCATACCCAGCTCACTCCTTCCCTCCCCTTCAGTGTGACCTGCTTTCTCCGCGGCAGTGTCTTGAACGGATTTGCAGTGGAGACAGACTCTCTCTGGTTTGGCTCTGTAATGGGTTGAATTGTCTCCCAGCAGAAGATATGTTGACATTCTCACCTCCATAACCTCTGAATGTGACCTTATTTGGAAATAGGGTCTTTGCAGGTGATCAAGTTAAGATGAGGTCATACTGGAGTAGGGTGGTCCCTAATCCAACATGGCCAGTGTCCTTATGAAAAGGGGATATTTGGACACAGAGACATGCACAGAGGGGGATGATGTAGTGACACAGCGAGAATGCTTTGTGGAGATTGGGGTGACACGGCCACAAACCAAGGAACATCTGGGGTGATCAGCAGCTGGACGAGGCAGGGAAGGATCCACCCCTGCATATTCCAGAGGGAGCACGACCCTGCCCGCACCTTGATCTTGGACTCCAGAACTGAGACACTCAGTTTCTGTTGTTCTGAGCCACGCGGTCTGTGGGACCATGGAACAGCAGTGCTAGGAAACCATAAAGGCCACCCTCGATTTCTGCCGTGAAGTGAGAGGCAGGGGGAGGGGACCCCCATACATGCCTCAGAAGGGATGCAGGGAGATTAAATATGAGTGCCAGGTGTGGGTGACCGGGTCCCTCTCTGGGATCTCTGGGGTGAAGGGTCAGGGGCTTAAGACCACTCGAAGGTGCCAACTCCCCCAGTGACCTTCCAGATGGAGCCTGTGACACTTGGAATTTTCCATCCTCTTTCTTTGCTGCCCACCCTCATTCCCCCTGCTTTCTCTCTCCTCCATGCTTTCATGACCCCAAAGAAAATTTTTTTTACTTTTTCCGTTGTTTTTTTTTTTTAAGTAATTACAGAGCAGGTAGTCGTTGACGCAAACCGCGGAGGCGCCCCGCCCGCGACCGAGGGCACCAGGGACTGGGATCGGACCCCCCCAGGGCAGGGCCAGGGTGCTGGGAGGCTCTGACGTCGTGGCTGTCTCTTCAGTTTCAAGGACGGAAGGATGGGGGGGGACAGGCGTCAAATTGCAAAAAAATGAACCGTAAAAGGGGGGCTGTTGGGGGTGAGGGGAGAGGACACCCCTCAAAAAAGCTCCTCTCTCCCCTCGAAGGCGGCGGAGGGCCGGGAGCAGTTGGTCGGGAGAGCGAGGAGGAAAAGCGGAGGGTTCCGGCCACTTCTCCTGCGTCACCTCCTGTCACCGGGGAGGAGAGCGAGGCCGGAACAACGGGGGCTCCATTGCCAGAACCCCACCCTGTCCTCGCTGGGGCCAGCCGCCCTGGGGTCCGGACACGGGTGGGGCTCCAAGCTGCCTGTCCCGACCTTCCCTGTGCGGGGGGGCTCAGGCTGTGGGGAGGGTCCCAGTCCGGCCCCAGCCCCGGGGTTCCCCCCACCCTGTCCCCGGGGCTTCAGATCTGCGTCTCTTGCACGTTCTCCTTGGAGCCGCTCTTGAAGAGCAGAGGTTCGTGGATGGAGTTGAGGCCCGGCGGGCCCTTGCCCCCGCAGCCCCCGCCGCTGGGGTTGCTGCTGTAGTGCGCCTTGAAGGCGGCCGCCACGTAGTGGTGGTGGTTGAGGTGGTCGCGCTCCAGGGCAGGCAGGGCCAGGTGGCTGTCCCCACCCACGCCGCCCCCGCCGGCCACGGCAGCGGCGGCGGCCACAGACACCGCAGAGGCGGCGGGCAGCTCGTCCTCCACGTTGATAATCTCCACCGTGCGCGTGGGCCCGTGGTGCTTGTGGAGCTGGTGCTGCTTGCGCAGCTTGTAGAAGGCCACGAGCATCACAGCGGCCATGAACGTGATGGCCACGAAGCAGCCGATGATGATCTTGGTGGTCTTCATGACGTCGTCCAGGTCCTTGAGGGCGTTCTCCGTCACGTCCGTGATGGGCACCGTGAACGCCTTCTCTGTGGGCCGCGAGGAGCGCGGGGCGGGCGCCGTGGTGGACGACGAGGCCGGGCCGGCCGCCTCCCCCGGCCGGCGCCCGCCCCAGACGCCATCTGTCGTGGGCCCCGGCGGCTCCTTCTCCGTCCCCC